AACAAAACTTTTCCTAAAACAAAACTAAAAGGCAAAAAGTGCTTTGAATTTCACGGTATCAGAACACCTTATGTAACATCATTTCATCCTAAAAGTCCCAAGCCTCACTGATTTAGTATTACCTCCCTGGAAATTACATGTGAACAATTTATCTTTTTTCTAATGAGGAAATTTAAGCTTTTGTAAATTTCTTAGTGATGAAATACTATGTCATGTTTCAATTTACTTTATCAGAAGTTAAAAAAAAATTACACGATTATTTAAATCCTGTTTTTTTCTTGGTCTCTTCTCACTCCAACACACTTTCAGCTTTACCATTCTTTCATTTTGTCCACTTTTGTGTTAGAAATCATTGCGAACTGACCTAGTCAGTCTGGTTCTTCCTGGTAGGTTATTAGTTATTAGTCCATCAGTTAGAGATGGGTGAAGGTTAAAATTATCTTTCCACAGCATTATCAACTTATGATAGAAATCAGTTTCAAAACAAAATCTGCCACATATAAATACACTAATTAAGCAAATATTTATCAGCAATCAGTACAAGATAGTTTATGTCAACTATTCTGTATGTCCCCCCAACGCATCTGTCAATTTGTCATACTATGGGGGCTTGAGTGCTGCTGTGATGCTAGAAGCTATGCCACCGGTATTCAAATACCAGCAGGGTCACCAATGATATCCTAGGCAATAGTGAACTGAAATGAACTGGTATTGGCTATTTTGAATCAGACAATCATATCGTCTACTATGCCAGGAAAGACAACTTGAAGAGGAATGGCGTTGCATTCATTGTCATAAAGAACGTTTAAAGATCTATCCTGAAATACAAGGCTGTCAGTGACAGGATAATATCCATACTCCTTCAAGGAAGACCAGTTAATACGACTATTATTCAAATTTATGCACCAATCACTGAGGCCAAAGATGAAGAAATTGAAGATTTTTACCCACTTCCGCAGTCTGAAACTGATCAAACATGCAATCAGGATGCATTGATAATTACCCGTGACTGAAATGAGAAAGTTGGAAACAAAGAAGGATCAGTAGTTGAAAAATATGGCCTTGGTAACAGAAGCGATGCTGGAGATCGCACATAGAATATTGCAAGACCAACGACTTCTTCATTGCAAGTACCTTTTTTCACAAACTTAAATGGCAGCTATACACGTGGACCTCGCCAGATGGAATACACAGGAATCAAATCGACTACATCTGTGGAAAGAGACAATGGAAAAGCTCAATATCATCAGTCAGAACAAAGACAGGGGCTGACTGCAGAACAGACCATCAATTGCTCATGTGCAAGTTCAAGGTGAAGCTGAAGAAAATTAGAACAAGTCCATGAGAGCCAAAGTACTACTTTGAGTATATCCCACCTGAATGTAAAGACCACCTCAAGAATGGATTTGACATGTTGAACACTATTGACCGAAGATCAGACAAGTTGTGGAATGACATCAAGGACATCATACATGAAGAAGGTAAGAGGTCATTAAAAAGACAGAAAAGAAAGAAAAGACCAAAATGGATGTCAGAAGAGACTCTGAAACTTGCTCTTGAACATCAAGTAGCTAAAGCAAAAGAAATAATCACATAAAAGTGCTGAACAGAAGATTTCAAAGGGCAGCTTGAGAAGACAAAGTGAAGTATTATAATGACATCCGCAAAGACCCAGAGCTAGAAAAACAAAAGGGAAGAACAGGCTCAGCAGTTCTCAAGCTGAAAGAACTGAAGAAAAAATTCAAGTCTCAGGTTACAATATTGAAGGATTCTATGGGGAAAATATTAAACAACACAGGAAGCATCAAAAGAAGATGGAAGGAATATACAGAGTTACTATACCAGAAAGAATTGGTCAACATTCAACCATTTGAGGAGGCAGCATATGATCAGGAACTGATAGTACTGAAGGAAGAAGTTCAAGCTGCACTGAAGGCATTGGTGAAAAACAAGGCTCCAGGAATCGACAGGATACCAACTGAGATGTTTCAACAAACAGGTGCAGCACTGGAGGTGCTCACTCATCTATGCCAAGAAATTTAGAAGACAGCCACCTGGCCAGCCGACTGGAAGAGATCCATATTTATGCCTATTCCCAAGAAAGGTGATCCAACTGGATGTGGAAATCGTCAAAAAATACCATTAATATCACATGAAAGTAAAATTTTGCTGAAGGTCATTCAAAAGCAGCTGCAGCAGTATATTGACAGGGAACTACCAAAAATTCAAGCTGGATTCAGAAGTCATGGAACAAGGGATATCATTGCTGATGTCAGATGGATCGTGGCTGAAAGCAGAGAATACCAGAAATATGTTTACCTGTGTTTTATTGACTATGCAAAGGTCTTCAACTGTGTGGATCATAACAAATTAAGGATAACATTGCGAAGAACGGGAATTCCAGAACACTAAACTGTGCTCATGAGAAATCTGTACATAGATTAAGAGGCAGTCATTCGAACAGAACAAGCGAATACTGCGTGGTTTAAAGTCAAGGAAGGTGTGCGTCAAGTTGTATCCTTTCACCATACTTATTCAATCTGTATGCTGAGCAAATAATCTGAGAAGTTGGACTATATGAAGAAGAACAGAGTGTCAGGATTGGAGAAAGACTCATTAACAATCTGTGTTATGCAGATGACACAACTTTGCTTGCTGAAAATGAAGAGAAATTGAAGCACTAACTGATGAAGATCAAAGACCACAGCCTTCAGTACGGATTGCACCTCAACATAAAGAAAACGAAAATCCTCACAACTGGATCAATAAGCAACATCATGATAAATGGAGAAAAGATTGAAGTTGTCAAGGACTTCATTTTACTTGGATCCACCATCAACACCCATGGAAGCAGCAGTCAAGAAATCAAAAGACACATTGCACTGGGCAAATCTGCTGCAAAACACCTCTTGAAAAGCAAAGTTGTCACCTCGAAGACTAAGGTGCACCTGACCCAAGTCATGATATTTTCAATAGCCTCATATGCATGCAAAAGCTGGACAATGAATAAGGAAGACCGAAAAAGAGTTGACGCCTTTGAATTGTGCTATTGGTGAAGAATGTTGAATATACCATGTGCTGCCAAAAGAATGAGCAAATCTGTCTTGGAAGAAGCACAGAGTGCTCCTTAGAAACAAGGATGGTGAGACTATGTCTCACATACTTTGGACATGGTATCAGGAGGGACCAGTTCCTGGAGAAGGACATCATGCTTGGTAAACAGAGGGTCAGCGAAAAAGAGGAAGACCCTCAATGAGATGGATTGACACAGTGGCTGCAACAATGGGCTTAAGCACAACAATTGTGAGGATGGCGCAGGACCAGGCAGTGTTTCATTCTGTTGTACATAGAGTAGCTATGAGTCAGAACCAACTGGATGGCATCTAACAACAACAACATTCTGCATATCCAACAAAGACTAAGCTCTCTATCCTTTTAGGTGATAAATATTCTGTAGGCAGAATTCACCTAATCTTGCAGTTAGATTTAGTAATCAAAATATTCTAAATCAACGTTTACAACAGGACCACTTAGTTATCAAGCCTTAAGTGCCAACTCCAAGGATGAAGGCAAAGAGCTAATTGAATTCTCACTATCTATTCATGTAAGGGTTGGGAGCCTCTTTAATGTATTTTATTCTATCCAGATGTATTGAACATCACTCATTTCACCCGTGAGAGCATCTAAAGTTATCCTTTGTCTGCTACATATGAAGAATTTTATGGCAGAAGAAGAAATTAAAACGTGTTGAAGAGGAAACAAATATATGAATGTAATGTGGCACAAATAATTAAGCACTCGACTACTAGCCAAAAGGCTGGCAGTTCAAATCTACCCAGCAGCGCCTCGGGAGACAGGCCTGGCGATCTGCTTCTGAAGGGTGACAGCCTTGAAAACCCTATGGAGCAGTTCCACTCTGCACACTTGAGCCACCATGAGTCAGAATTGACTCAGTAGCAACTAACAACAGCAACAACAGTGTATATTAAGTGGTTTGGCTAAAGTGGTTTACTAGAACATGAGTCCATCAAATCATTTTTAAGATAATAATAAAACCAAGGAAATATTTATGACCTTAAGAGAGTAAACACGTTTTATTAATCATTCTTATACAAGGACAAGTGTTATTAGGAGTTGTCCTTAGAATTCTGCCTACCACGTGCCTTATGTTATATGTTGATGCAATAATCATGCTATTGTTGAGTGAAGCAAATCAGACCACTCTGAAACCCTCACATTGTCCTAGGATATTCTCTCCCATTTTATCCTTGTGAGTTCTTGACATCTTGCAATGCTACATTCATAAACACTGAAGTATATACTTGACTACTAGGTGCTCAGGTCACTCTGATATGTCTAGACAAACGTCCAGAATTACATAAGTAGAAGGATAAAAGTATTCCAAGACAAAATAAGTGGAAGTTCCCTGAGATGGAACAGCTTAATCTCCAGGTATCTTTTGCATCAATGCTCAGTCTTTCAAACTCCTCCTCCTTTTCTCTGACCCTTTCCAAGACTGCATCTGAGCTTTTAGAGAAAGGAGACTTATGTGGTCTTGTGGTAGAGGAGGTAGAGGAAAGATGAAGTTTCTCAAATGCAAACACAGATGCTGCTACAGTCCTCTGTCCTCTCTGCATTGACACATACAAACCATGCAAGGTTGAACTTCGGAAAATATCCATTACCATGTTTAGTGGTTCAAAGAAAAAAGTAACGACTCTAATTACATAGTCCCAAAAGGATATAGTGAAATTCAAGATTAATTTTCCTAAGAAAAACAAGGATGTTAAGAAAAACATATTCTTCTGCCTCCTAATTTCCTTGATAAGTTTTTATGATTACAATCAATTATTTAAAGTAAAGCTTATTTACGCCTTGCTTACTGAATTTACTTGTGGGTAAAGGCAGGTTCAAAATAAGTGATAATTATTTAGAACTTTCCCTGAACTTAAGTATTCCCACTTACAAACTCTCTTCCACTTATAAGTATACATTCACAGGACCATGCAGAGGAAGGCAGGGCCAGCATTTACCAGTCGGTCTTCACCAACTCTTCCAAAGAAATGACGTGTTTTTCAGACTTCCCATTTCCTGACGACTTCCCCAACTTCATGCACCACAGCAAGCTCCAGGAGTACATCACTACATGTGCCAAAGAAAAGAACCTTCTAAAATACATACAATTTAAGGTAAGTTGTTAGCAATAAATTGGCCTTTGGCATAACTGTGAGGACATCCATGTTTATTACTGGATTCCCATTTTTCCCTTTCTGTATCCCTTTCTTATTTGTCAACATTTTTACCAGTGTAGCCACGTAGAGTTCTTAGACCACAATGCTATTAACTTAGAAATCAATAACAAAGAAATAAATGTAAAATATCCATGAATTTGAAAATTTAAAACTTTTTTCCTAAATAACTTATGGATCAAAGAAGAAATTGTAATGTAAATTTTAAAATATTTAGAACTGAATGATAATTCAGATTCTATGTAACAAAATTTGTGGGAAGCAGATAAAGCTATATGTTTGTGAAAATTACAAACATAATGCTCATATTAGAAAATGAGGAAGGTTTAGAAATTTAAGAGGTAAGGAAGTGTAATAAATTAGAAAAAGAAAAGCAGAATGAATCCCAAGAATGTAAAATGAAGATGACAAAAAAGTAGTTAATAAAGTAGAAAATAAAACAGATTAACAAAATTGAGAGTTAATTCTTTGAAAAGTCTAATAAAATTAACATTAGAAAAATAGCTGGCAGTTTGTGGGGGAAAAAAGAGTGAAGGCACAAATGCATAATATTAGAATGAAAATGTAGACAAAATAGATGCAGACTAAATTTTAAAAAGATACTATAAAAAAAAAACGCTTGCCAAATACTTCTTTGAAATTGGTCAAATTAAAAAATTCTTTCCAAAAAACTCTTACTGAAACTCACTCAAAAAGAAGTAGAAAGGCTAAAAAGTTTCTTGATGATTTATAGTTCTTGTGACTTAGAAAAACATCTTACCATGAAGAAAATAAACAGATAGTTCCATAGGTAAGTACTTCCAAATTTGTAAGAGACAGATTATTTCATTATTCCATAAATTCATCCAGAAGCTCACTCTATATTATAATTTTTGTATCAAAAGCAGACAAGGATAATATGAAATAGGAAAATTATCGGTCAATCTCCCTCATGAAAATAGATACAAAAATCCTTTAAAACATGACTACAGCAGAAGCCAGACAGGAGGCAAAGGGAGGGGTCGGGAGGAGAGAAAGAGGAGAAATAGTTTTCAACAAAGACTAGAAGGGAATTTTCTTGACCCACCAAAACACAAACGTTATTCTAGATTTATACTGTTCAATATGGTAGCCATTAGCCACAGAACTGAGATGTAGTATAAGTGCAAAATACACACTCAATTTCAAAGCCTTAGTATTAAAAAAATGCAAAATATCTTATTAATAATTTTCATATTGGTAACATGCAGAAATGATAGTATTTCGTATATATTGGGCTAAATTATACTTTTTTCATTTTATTAAATGTGACTACTAGAAAATTTAAAATTACATATTTTCTCATATTATATTTTTACTAGACAGTGCTGTCCTACACAGTGAATATCAGAAGCATTCCTATTTAAGTTCAGAACAAGATAAGGATGTTCATTATCATTGCTTTTTTTCAACAGTCTTAAGAAATTTAAGAAAAAGAAACAAAAGGAACAACTTGAAAGGAAAAAAAATATCATTAGGCACAGATATGATTGTCCACATAGGAAATGTAAAAGAATCTACAGACAAATTACTAGAATAACTATTAATACAAAATAGTTTAGCACAGCGGCAGTATATAAGATCAATATTTAAAACTTCATTGCATTTCTGTAAACTGGCAACACAGAGAAACTATAATCCAAAAAAAGGTGCCATTTACAATAGCATAAATAAATAACCCCAGAATTATTCTAAATAAATTATGTACAAGCTTTTATGGATTCATAAGTGCTCATTTTATTATTATATTTCATAAGTAACAAAGATGTTATATTGGTACATATATATTCTTGTATATGTAAACCAGATTGAGGAGAGAGCGTGGAACAAAGGATATCATTGCTGATGTTAGATGCATCTTGGCTGAAAGCACAGAATACCAGAAAGATGTTTACCTATGTTTTATTAACTATGCAAAGGCATTTGAATATGTGGATCATAACACATTATGGATACCATTGCAAAGAATGGGAATTTCAGAACACTTAAGTGAGCTCATGAGGAACGTGTACATAGATTGAGAGGCAGTTGTTCTAACAGAATAAGGGGATACTGTGTGTTTTAAAGTCGGGAGAGGTGTATGTCAGGGTTGTATCCTTTCACCATACTTATTCAATTTGCATGCTGAGCAAATAATCCGAGAAGCTGGACTATACAAAGAAGTTTCGAAGAAGACTCATTAACAACCTGCGTTATGCAGGTGACACAACCTTCCTTTGCTGAAAATGAAGAGGACTTGAAGCACTTTCTGATGAAGATCAACGACTACAGCCTTCAGTATGGATTACATCTCAACATAAAGAAAACAAAAATCCTCACAACTGGACCAATAAGCAACGTCATGATAAACAGAGAAAAGACTGGGGTTGTCAAGTATTTAATGTTACTTATATCCACAATCAATGCCCATGGAAGCAGCAGTCAAGAAATCACACCATGTATTGCATTGGACAAATCTGCTGCTAACGACCTCTTTAAAGTGTTCATAAGCAAAAATGTCACTTTGAGGACTAAGGTGTACCTGGCCCAAGCCACAGTATTTTCAATTGCCTCATATGCATGCAAAAGCTGGACAATGAATAAGAAAGACTGAAGAAGAATTGATGTCTTTGAATTATGGTGTCCGTGAAGAATATTGAATATACCATGGACTGGAAGAAGTATGAACAAACCTGCCTTGGAAGAAGTACAGCCAGAATGCTCCTTAGAAGGGAGTATGGCAAGACTTTCTCTAATGTACTTCGGACATGTTATCAGGAGGGACCAGTCCCTGGAGAAGTACATCATGCTTGGTAAAGTAGAGGGTCAGTGAAAAAGAGGAAGACTCTCAGTGAGATGGATTGATATCGTGGCTGCAACGATGGGCTTAAACATAGCAGCAACTATGAGGATGGTGCAGGACCAGGCATGTTTTGTTCTATTGTACATGGGGTCACTATGAGTCAGAACCAACTCGACGGCACCTAACAACAAATGAAATATTACATAATAAAGTTTTTAAGAACAAGTAAGACCAAAATAGTTTCTCTTTCAAATATAGTCAGAAGAATTAAAAAATTTTTTTAAAAGAGGGGACACACCAACAGGCAGCCATTTCGCTGTGACTAAACACACATGTATATATTACAGAAATTATTCACTACCAGATAACTTGCTACATGTGGTATACGCCTCTTGTACTTAAACTATAATTGGATTCACTGTCATACCTCCAAGGGGTGTCACTTTTTTACCGCAGAAAATACTGGTTATTCACAAGAAACCATGTAAGAATAAATAATATATATACACCATTTAATGCGTTGATTTACTCGAATGAATTCTGAATTTGAAGTATTTTTTTCCTAAGCCACTATCTATTAAGTATTTTTTCCATACTACTTGATCAGGTAGGTTCCACCTGAAATGGAAGTGAAGGCTTTCTTTCTGTGTTTCTCTTAGACACCTGTATCCAGTGTAAATAAACGTCCTGATTTCTCAGTCACTGGCCAATGGGATGTATATACTGAAAAGGATGGTAAACAGGAATCTGCCATCTTTGATGCTGTAATGATTTGTTCTGGACATCATGTGTACCCCAATATACCAAAAGAGTCCTTTCCAGGTAAGGCCAAAATTTAGCCTACCACCTACACATCTGGCAAGAGTGAATATCTTTATAATATCTTTATCTATACATATATCGCTACCTCTATCAATACCTCTATCGATCTATCTACAAACTGGTTAAATTAAAATATACTTCTATTATATCTACCAAAAGGACTATACTAAGTATGTTAAAATTCCTATTACTGTGACTACATCCCCCTACAAGGTCATTTCTGTGAAAATGATACAAGTTTCCCACTTTTCATTCAGGTCTAAAACATTTTAAAGGCAAATACTTCCACAGCCGGGAATATAAGGAACCAGGAATATTCAAGGGGAAGTGAATCCTTGTGATTGGCTTGGGGAATTCAGGCTGTGATATTGCCGTGGAACTCAGCCGCACAGCAGAACAGGTACCACTTCCCAGGTACTGGGGCGGGGGGAAGAGGGGGGCTTCTCTTTAAAGATCAGGGGTAGTTATTATCATCTGAAAGGTGTGATGTGAAATAGGAGGAAGGGCCTTTGTGAAAATTAAGTGAAATTTCATATAGCTCAGCTTCCCGTGGTAACAAACGAGGTTTTGAAAAGACAAAGACAAAGGCAGAACTTTGGCAAGGAGTGATGTTGCCATTTAACAGTCTTCTCCTTCAAGGCATTTGGTGTCTAACATGTATCTGATCAATTTCAACAAAACAAGTGTGGATTCAGGGTTCGGATCATGGCTCTGAGACTCCTGGGCGAGTCCTTCCGTCCCTCTGAGTTTTAATTTTCTCACCAGTAAAACAGAGAAAAAAATAGAGCTTACTTTTTGATCTTGTTAAGAAGTTAAGGCATTTGAACAAGATTTAAGCCATATAAAGTTCTGTATCCATTCATTCATGCCATCATTCATTCCATACTTATTATTGATAGGCTACTATGAGCCAGGCACTGGCTGGGGTGCTGTGGAGAAAGTGATGAACAAAAAAGACATGGTTCCTGTCCTGGAATTCAAAGTCTAGTGTAGAAAATAAACATTAAATAAGCAAATGCACAAACAGCTAATTTATAATTGTGAAAAGTGGCAGGAAAGAAAATCTTGCTGTAAGAGCAGGGAAGTGGAAAGGCCCTGTTGAGCTGATGCCATTTAAGCTGAGAACTAAAAATTGAACAAAAGGCACAGTGTCAGAAAGTCTGGAAGAAGGAAGAAGGCTCTCTGGCTGGAACTCAGGGCGTCTGGAAAAGAATGGATGAGGGGTAGTTGTAGTGAGGACAGAGAAGAGGTGACACAGGGACTTTTAGGACATGTTAAGGAGTTTAACCAAATGTCACTGACTGGCTTTGGAAGATTCTTTAGGGATTGATGGTCCAGAGGCTCAAAGCCAGGTATCTTATCTTCAGTTGTAATGCCCACTGATGTCATGCCGTGTGCCCCCAATATAGGCCTAATTATGTATTGTGAAGCAAAGAGAACGCAACAGAATACATGGCATAAAAATGTATTTCTACCTATCTGTTCAGAGTCCCTGGGTGATGCAAAGGGTTAATACATTCAGCCAAATGGTTAGAGATACAGTCCACCCAGGGATGCCCTGAAAGAAGGGCCTGGTGATCTACTTCTGAAAAATCAGCCATTGAAAACCCTACAGAGTACAGTTGTACCCTGACACACATGGGGTTGTCATGAATCAGAGTCAGCTCAGCAACTGGTTTGGTTTTTATCTATCTGTTCAAAGTACTAGACTAGGCAATACGGAGGCATACAATGAAGTTAGTGTGTGGCCTCTCTCCTCAAGGAGCTTAAAAATCTAATACATGAACATAAGTTAAACATAACCTCAAAGGTTAAATAGAAAGCAATGCAACAGTATGCACAAGAGCTGCAGCTAGAATAAATGAGTGATTGAGACATACTATGATTTTAGAACTATAGGCTGTGGTAGCTGGGGAGGCCTCCAGATGGTGGTATGCCTGCATCAGCCCTGAAATGATAAATATAAATCATAGGTGAAGAGGTGGCAGAGGGTGTTCCAGACAGGGAGAACAACATGAGCAAAGTTATGGAGACAAGAACGTGCTCTGCATATTTGACTATTACAGATTTGTTTTACTGGAATGGAGGTTCTTAATAATAACACCTTTCATTTGTAGAATGCATTATGGTACTCAAGCACCTTCATTTAAATTAGCTACTTTGATTGTGAGAAGAAAGCAGTCCAGGTTTTATCATGCCCATTTTACAGAAAAGAATACTGAGGACTGGAGATGTCAATTGCCTTCTTGAAAGTCATAGAGGAGATTACTGTTTGAGCATCAAATGTGTTAGAGGATTGAGAGTTAGGTCTTCTGATTCTAAGGAACAGAGTAGTTATGGAAATTGAGATGGGAAAGAATGATTGGAGTCAGGTTATGGACTTAAGGACTTGAATGACAGGGTAAAGAATTTGGATTTGTCCATAAATAACGATAAATCATTTCCGCTTCTGGAGCTAAAGAAAGATATGATGAAACCATAGTTTTAAGAGATGTGTCTGTTGGTTGTATATAGGATAAATTAGAGGGAAGAATGACTAATTTCAGAGGCTCTTGCAGATTGATCCTTCGTCTCTTGTTATTTAACCAGCTTCCCTTACAATACCTACATAAGTGATCTTATATAGCCAAAATTGTGCCTTTAAAACTGTGCTGTTAGGGATTAACATAACAAAAAGGGGAGCAGGAAGAAAACTGACATTTACTAAGCACATGCTGCACCAGGCAACACCGGGCACCGTACAAAGGTAATCACATTGGATTAATCCTTGAACAAATTCTATGTGGTGAGTATTTGTTATTCCCATTTTAGGAATGAGGAAACTGAAGATGACAGAATTTAAAGAAATTTGCCCCAAATCACATTAGTAAGTGGTGGAGTCAGGATTTGAGCTCAAGTCTTTCTGATTCCAAATCTCGTGGCTCCTTTTGGGATGGTGGCAGGCATTTTAATTCCAACGCCGTAATTTGGGGTCATAATTTTTTCTTTATAGACAATAGCATCAGAAGAGCATTAGGAAAAGTATAACTAGAATTCAGTTACTGGTCATCTATCATATAAGATTTGATTAGTATATGATAACTTGCCTGGAACAGTATGTCAGGTTGGTTTCCCTGGGAGTCAGACTCTGAGATGCAGATTAAAGCACAGAAGGTTTATTTGGGAGTGCTCTCAGGGTCAATATCTTTGCAGGAAGGGATAGAAGCTTCCGTTTTACTTTACTCTAAAGCTGGGATGGTTCTTCGGAGTTGTCCCAAGCTGGGGTGAGGGGCTGGGCCTCTCTACTCTTGCATCCACCAGTCATTAGATGCAGAAACCCCAGAAGGGTGCAAGACCTTGGGTGAGACCACTGTCTTTCACCAAGGCAACTCCCAAAGACGGCTGATAGCTGAGGGCTGCCGTCCAGCAATATTCCCAGCCGCTGGGCTAATAGGTCCAGTCCTGAAAGGGGGCCTGGGGGCGTAACACAATATCCACTATTAGCAGTCACTACTTTCATGGTTGAATGGGTGTTTTTTAAGGTAATCATCAGCTCCAGAAGCGGTTCCTGGGTGATGAGCAGAGTCTGGGATGATGGCTACCCATGGGACTTGTTTGTCAACCGATTTGAAAACTTCCTCCAAAACAACTTATCGACAGCCATTTCTGACTGGTGGTACATGAAGCAGATGAATTCAGAATTCAAGCATGAGAACTATGGCTTGATGCCTTTAGATGGGTAAAGCAGAGTTAAACATTATATGCCTGTTAACTTTTATTTCTGTGTGAATAACTGGAATAAAGCCTCCAAACAAATCAACAGTAATGGAGTAATCACATCTCATACCTCAGAGGATAAAGGACTGAAAAATCAGGAAATCTTTCCAATTTCACAATCCTCCTTACCAGATTTCTCAGCTGGGAAGTTATATAATACATCAGGAATTAGTACTGATAATAACAGTTAACACATTTTAAGGACTTAATACATGTCAGAGCCTGTACTAAGACCTTTACATGCCTTATCTCATTTAATCCTCCCAACAACTCTATGAGGAGAGCTTTATTATTATCCCCATTTTAGAGGAGAAAACTGAGGTTCAGTGCAGTTAATGACTACCAAAGTCCCACAGCCAAAATGTAGAACCAGGATTCACAGCAAACCTTGATCCACTGACTCCAGAGCCCCTCACTCTTAGCCACCATGCTCTACTGCCTCTTAACCCCAAAGTTAAGTTAAACAGAGTGGAAGGAGTTCCCCTGTGCTGCACCCTCAAGCCCCCTACCCGACTTAATGGAGCTCTCCCACTGAACTGTGACCACAACATTTGCTTCGCCTCCTCACTCTTCAATAGCATCGCCCAAACTAGTCACATGATAAGAAATTACTTTGACATGAGATCAAAAATCCCAGGTTGTGCACCGTTTATAAGAAAGTTAATTCATTAATTCAACAACTATTTATCAAGCATTTATTATATCCCAGGTCCTGTTCTAATCCATGTACAACATAGGCAAAATCCCCTGTTTTCATGGAGCTTATGGTCTAGTAGTAGGACAGATGGTAAACAAATGGCAGAAGACAATGTAGAGATGTGCGTTATGAAGAAAAATACAAAGCAAGGATGGGTGACAGAGAGTGTTTTCAGAACAACATTAGGGTCCTCAGAGTAGATGTCACTGAGGAGACATTTAAGCAAAGCCCTGAAGGAGATGACAAAAAGAGCCATGGGGATATCTGAGGAAGAGTGTTCCAGACAGAGGAAACAGCCAGGGCAAAGGCTTCAGGGGCATAACTGAACCGTTCAACGACAGCAATGGGACATCTCAACAATAAAGAGGGTAAGGGTACAGTAGTAGGAGATAAGGCCAGGGAGGTAAAAACAGCCAGATGGCTTTGGGCCTTGTAGGCCATTGTAAGAACTCTGAATGCAATGGGAAGCCATAGCAGACATCTAAGTAGGTAGTAATAATATCTAAATTAACACTGAATAGGTCACTCTGGCTGCTGTGGTCATCATTCAGTGTAAGAGGGTGGGATAAGAGAGGAAGGAAAAAGACTAGTTAAAAGGCTATTGTCAAAAACCTAGAAGAGAGGTGATGGTGGCTTGGACTAGGATTGTTAGCAGTCAGTGATCTGAAGTTATCAGTTTCTGGATGTATTTTGAAAGTAGAACCAAACAGATTTTCTGTTAAATTGGGAAAGGATGAGAGAAACAAAGGGGTCAAGGACATCTTCAAGATGTTTGATCTGAGCAAGTATGCAAGCAAGGAGTTGACGTTACTGAGATGAGGAACAATGCAGGTTTATCGGGAGGAGGAAAAGTTTTGTTTTTAGATATATTAAAGTTGAGATACCTATTAGACATTCAGGTAGAGAAGGGAAAGATCATAAGAAATAGAGAAGGGATCAGCAAAAGGTAACTTCTCTCACTTCATAATGTTGCCTTGTGTCAGTTTTGCTCTTCATCCACATTGGCAACATTCCATAGCAAGAAAAAAATCTTTGGTAGTTTTCTACCTCCTTATTAATATACCTGTGTATCTATATAAGCTAGATATCTGTGTGTCTATCTATATCTATGTGCAGATATAGATATAGATACCAATAAAACAAAAGGAAAATATTATAGTTCTGGCTGCTGTCTCTGTTTTCCACACAGAACCCTGAGGAAAGAGCCTGTGTTTAATGATGAGCTCCCACCTCGAATTCTGTGTGGCACAGTGTCCATTAAGTCTAATGTGAAGCAGTTCACAGAGACCTCAGCCATTTTTGAGGATGGGACCATGTTTGAGGCCAGTGACTTTGTCATCTTTGCAACAGGCTACGACTATGCTTATCCCTTCCTTGATGAATCCCTCATCAAAATCAAAAACCATGAGATCACCTTGTTTAAAAGCATCTTCCCTCCTCTACTAGAGAAGTCAACTATGACAGTAATTGGCCTTGTCCAGTCCCTTGGGGCTGTCATCCCTACAACTGAGCTGCAGGCTCGCTGGGCAGCACGAGTAATAAAAGGTGAGTAGAAAAGGAAGCTGATAGATTGGAAAGACGGATACCAATGAGAATGTTTTTGGGTCTTTGTGAAAAGAAGAATCCTAATTACAATGGAATAATCATTAATTATTATGAATTGATTATAATTATATGATTATAATTATATGTTTATATTTTATATAAATTTATATAATCATTTAATTATAATAATTAGTAACGCAGGAGTCCCTGGGTAGCACAAATGGTTAAGCACTCAACTACTAGCCGAAAGGCTGGCAGTTCAAACCCACCCAGAGGCACCTTGGAAGACAGGCCTGGTGATCTGCTTCCATAAGGTCACAGCCTTGAAAACCTCATGGAGCAGTTCTACTCTGCACACACGGGGTCGCCATGAGTCAGAATCGACTAGATGACAACCAACAACAACAATCCTAGGTCCCATTCAGTCTTGAAAGTGTAACATTCATATTCTTGCCGCTATAATATACAAGCAATTAAAAATATATCACATTGGATTATCATATGCAATAGTACGTGGTATTATTAGAGGAGTTATTTTATGACTTATAACTCCTTAGAGCTGATAATTACCCCAGATCATTAGACTTGAGAACACCAAAGCTCTTGGTCTTAAGTGCATGACAGCTTTATAAAACTATGATTTTAAAACTCAATTCAATGATGTTGCTTGAAAGGTTAATAAGGGAAGATGTTCCCAAGCCAATATCCAGCCAACTTCACCTATTCACAGTCCAAAAACATGGTTATTATTACTGGAAAGACAGTGGCTTTTCTGCTACTATTTTCTCCCCTGCCATGTGTCAGACAAGGGCAAATAGTGAATCATTAGAGGTAGAAAGTTTTAGGTGTGGAAGATAGTATCTATATACAGGAATACTGGGTTCCTATATTTTAAAAGGAGCCCTGGTGGGGCAATGGTTGAGAGCTATGGCTGCTAACCAAAAGGTTGGCAGTTTGAATCCACCAGCCGCTCCTTGGGAACACTATGCAGCAGTTCTACTCTGTCCTATAGGGTCGCTATGAGTTAGAATTGACTCAATGGCAAAGGGTTTGTTTTTTTTTTATATATTTTAAAAAGAAAAAGAAAACAAACTTGATTGGGGGTCAGGAAAGCAAGGCAAGCAGCATCCCCCAGGAGTAGGTACTGGAATTAGATTCACACTCAGATTAGAATGCAGGTGTGGGCAGATGCAGATCATAAAACCAAGCAGGGCCACGATTGGAGAACAAATAGAGGTATCAAAGTTTAGTGTGTAAAGTTTAGTTGAATCTATGGGTATAAAAATCCTGGATGAGGGAGATTTGGCAGGCTTACCTCCTTTTGAAGCAATGTTCTAAGTCTTCCAGCCTTTCCCTGATTTGCTGGGGAGGTTAAAGTGTCTTTTTCTTATTCAGGAACCTGAAATCTGCTGCTATACATCTTGGGCCACCTCTTACCAGCAGACCAATATCCACTTAAGCTTAGTCCTGCACATCCCTGAGCCTCCTTTACTTTTCCCAACCCAGGCAGAGATGTGTTGCAGGGTGATGTTGCTCTAGGGAGGCTGCAGCCAGGCAGATGATGGTATGAAATTCTGCTCAGAAGGAAGAGAGCTTAAGGTTCAGTCCCAGAGAGACTGGCATTAAAGGTAGGACTTTTACTCTCTGTGAGGACACAAGTTGTGATCTGGGCCCTGAAGAAAGGAGATAAGGCAGAGACCCAATCAATAGGGCACTGATGTACAAGGCAAAGATTCCATCTTATGGGAAATGGGAGATAAGGTAAACAATCCAGCTTGGGGGAACCAGAGTACCAGGACAGAGGGGCCAGTTATGATCAACCCAGTGGTGGTAGCTGGTGGATTACTGAGTCCAACCTCTCTCTCTCTCTTTCTCTCTCTCTCTCTCTCTCTCCCTGCCCAAGGATAGGTCTGGCTGCAAGTTCTGGAATAAGACCAGTCTAACAAAGGCTGCTCAAGACTCAGCTAGTAATAATTGCCAGAACAGGAAATTCAGCAAGTTACATAACTCTTAAGAAATCAGAGCTGAGGTGGCAGTTTTAGTCTTGTTCAAGGTGATCCCAAGATTTCAAAAAACTTACATTTGAAGTATATCTTTGGACCTCCAGACTGGGCTCAAAGGCATGTTTTGGTCATGGTTTAAGAGAACTCTGCCCAAATGAGTCTGAAATCCTGGAGCAGTTCTAGTTCAGATCTAGACTCCTGGGGCTCTCCTGTGTTTTGGTGACTTGTGGACAGTGCATACCTCAGTCTCATCCAATAACTGTTGGATCCAGAGAGAGACTTGGGGTTACACTAAGTTCTATTATCTACTAGAAATTCTTTTTTCTGGAAAACCAGGGTTATTTCCTATGAAGTTTATTTTTTTCTTAAATCTGAAAAAAGAGATGCCTATTTCTTGTGTTTGGTTAATATTTATTAGATAGTATTCTTTAAAATATTGCTGAGAAATTAGAATATAATCCTGGAAATATATTTTAAACATCTGGTAAGTGGTTAGGGTAATAGTTTTTAATTCTTATGACAGGTATTGGTCCTGAGAAGACTAGGAATGAGTTGTATATTTGTCTCAAAATGGTCACAAGTTCATTTGTTTGAGAGTTTATTTTGCTGAACAGTGACAAAAAATTTGAATTACTACTGTGATTCATAATTTCTTATCAAATATGAGAAATTGCAGACTGGCCCTATGCCATACTTATTTAACTATTATCTTTTTTAGGAACTTGCACTTTGCCTTCTGTGGAAGACGTGATGTGTGATATTGATGAGAAAATAGGGAAAAAGCTCAAATGGTAAGATCACCTATTATAAAGGGGATCTAGGATTTCCACAGAGAAGTCAGAATTTGTGAATGCTTGGAACTGCTTCAGTCTTCAGTGACCCTGAGTAAGAGGTCATTAAGGTGCCCCCCCTGCAAGCTAAATTCATCCATCCAACAAATACTTATTGAGGATCTACTTTGCAAGTGACACTATCTTAAATCCTGTTTTGTGCAGGACACAGTGAATAGTAGAACTGTGAACCTACATTATACAGTCAGCCCTCCATGGCTCCTGCCAAACATCACAGAAAGGAGATTTGGAAAGGATTAGAAACTAGAGGAATTTGAGACCAAGTGGTGTGGGCTTCTAGTCTCTAGCCCCTAACTCCTCTAAGATATATAGGAGATCTTCAAACAGGTGGTTCTAATGAAAATGTCTCAGCAAAATGAGGATGTGTCGGGAGAACTGGGCTCGAGTCCTACCTTTGTCACTAATTAGCTCAGTGACCATGAGCTATTAACTTCACTTGAGCAGGAAGCAATGCATCCATTTGTAAATGGAAACAAACATGCCTTCCTTAGCTGCCTGGGTGAGATGAGGAATGTCCAGATGAGATCAATATGAAAATTTTTTTAAAAAACTACACAGTACAGTATATAAGAGATATCCTCATTATTAACACAAAGGCTTGACATTAATTCCAGTCTAAATACTGGTAAAAAGGCATGAGGCTTTTTCCTTACCCTTGTTTCTGCACAGAGCTTGGATATTCATGGTGTTGTTTCCTCTCCTCCCTCTAGGTTTGGCAAAAGCAAGACCATACAGATGGATTATGTTACTTATATGGATGAAATTGCCTCCTTCATTGGGGCAAAGCCCAACATCCTATGGCTTTTTCTCACAGATCCCAAATTAGCCTTGGAAGTTTTCTTTGGCCCTTGCAGCCCATACCAGTTTAGGCTGGTGGGCCCAGGGAAGTGGCCAGGAGTCAGAAATGCCATCCTGACCCAGTGGGACCAGGCACTAAAACCATGAAGACACGAGTTGTTGGGAGTCGTCAGAAGCCTTGTCTCAAGCTTCTTGCTATTCCTATACTGTTCATTGGTGTTTTGCTTATGCTGATTTAATCATCACTCTCTCTGGGATTTTTAAAGTTACTGACAATACTCGGGCAAGACTTTGCTATTTAAAAATTCAGCTATCTTTATGAGCACTCTGGAGGCATTAGTCAGTAAAACAGTGCTATATCTAGGCTTTTAGATAAGTCCCTGTAAGAGGCATGTCATGATCTGAAGAAAGTTATTAATCACTTCTTGCTAGGCTCCACCATCATTTTGTAATGAGAATTGTGGCCCTATGCCAGACTTACTTAACTGTTATCTAAATGTGCCTAACATAAATCATCTCCCTCAAGCATTTTGACAGGACTATGTCCTTTAAACAATGTTTAAAATATGTGCTTAATATCTGAACAAGAGCAAATTAAGCAGAATAGTTATATACATGATACTCTCGAGCTACGTCTACAAATTATTTTCAGAGACAAGGAGAGGGTTTGGCTAGTATATCTATGACTGTGTCATGCAGCATCTTCCACGCAATCCCTCCTATTCCCTGGCCCAGGGGCACAGCATGAAGACTTAATCTGTATAAAGAACCCAAAATATCTGTATTTTCAATTAAAAAAGATAAACTTTACAACACATTGACACAAAATAATGATAATAATAAGAAATGTCTCCACATATTAGCTGAATGGAAAATCTTATTTTAAAAAAACAAGTATTTAGCCAAAGCCATGGCCCAAGTTGAATACTGTCCTTACAGAATGAACTTCTGGGGTCCTGGAATATATCTGAAATTTTATTTTTAAAAATGAGTATTATTGCATTAATAAAATGTGGTAAGAATAAGCAGGAGAATAAATTAAAATTTTGATAGACAAATGTTTAAAGCGTGACATTATAGTGCAGATAAAATACCAAAAGCTATAGAGGACTCCACTGGTTGTTATACTATGTACGCATTTCTTACTACAATTTCACTTTTAACTGAGGTCAGGGGAACAACAAAATATTTGGGAGATGAGAAACCACATTTTTTCTAATACTTTCCTCTTTTCTATTTTTCATTCTCTTCATATTTTTGTTGTATACGATTCTAAAGTGTTTCCTTTTCCTAATAGTTTTAGGTAGCAAAATACCAGTCTGCTTTTAAGGTCTCCTCACAAAATGGGAAATATTCACAAACTGAACTTTTTTTGAAAACCTTGTGGCCTAAATGAATCAAGTAACCAAAAATTAAATACAGCCTGTAAAATTTATTTTGTTTAATGTTGTAAATGGTAGCACACAAAATAATTTCAAGATTAAAACTGATATAATCCAATTTTTATTGCTCTTCTTTATATGGTTATTTAAATTTCTGTAAACATCAGTTGGCTCATGAATATTCTTCCTAACCTAATCTAGCTAATAAATGCTCTTAATAGTCCTATTAACATCAATCTATTTCCATACTTACTGAACTAACGCCAAGGTATTAATATTTACTTTTGAGTATAACATTAATGAATTTTATAATCATTCATTTTTGCACATTACACTCTGAAAAAATATATCTCTCTCTCTCAACTGACTCATACTATTTGAATATATGAAGCACAGAAGATTTTCTTTCACTCCTAGTTTCATCTAGGAAGTCTTACCTTTACTTAAAAGTGAATTGTGTGTAGTTAGGCTTTCAGCTGCTAACCAAAAGGTTGGCAGTTCAAATCCACCACCTGCTCCTTAGAAACCCTATGGGGCAGTTCTACTCTGTCCTATAGGGTTGCTGTGAATCGGAATCAACAGCAACGGATTTAGCTTTTTTGGTTTTTGTTTGTTTGTTTTGTTGTTGTTGTTAAAAGGAGCCCTGCTCCCCCGGGCACCCTTTTAGCTCGGTAATGAAATCACTCCCGAGGTTCACTGTTCAGCCAAAGATTAGACAGCCTCATAAAACAAAATGAGACTAATGGGGCACAACAGTCCAGGGACAAGGACTAGAAGGCAGGAGGGGACAGGAAAGCTGGTAATCGGTAACCTCAGGTTGAGAAGGGACAGTGTTGACATGTTGTGGGGTTGTTAACCATTGTCATAAGACAATATGTGTATTAACTGTTTAATGAGAAACTATTTGTTCTGTAAACCTTCATCTAAAGTACAATAAAAATTTTTAAAAAGGAGCCCTGGTGGTATAGCAGTTAAGTGCTCAGCTACTAACCAAAAGGTTGACGATTTGAACTCACTCAGCGGTTCTGCAGAAGAAGGGCCTGGCAATGTGCTCCCATAAAGATTACAGCCTAGAAACCCCTATGGGCAGTTTTCTTCTGTCACATGGGATGGCTATAAGTTTAAATCAACTTGAAGCCAGTTAACAACATTCTTATTAAAACTAAAGGTTATTCAGCCTCAGCTAAATGTTCCAGACACAAAGCATTAAGTGTAAGTTAAAGATGACCAAATATGTCCTCTGGGGTCCCTGGGTGGTGCAAATTGTTGATGTGATCACTGCTAACCAAAAGGAGGTTCAAGTCCATCCAGAGGGGTCTTGGAAAAAAGGATTGGTGATCTACTTCCAAAAAATCAACCACTAAAAACCCTATGTGGCACAGCTCTACTCTAACACACATGGGGTCACCATGAGTCAGTTGACTCGACAGCAACTGGTCTAACCCTAGAGGAGGGAGGGACTGTGGGAGTCAAATGACTGTGGTCAAAGTGAGGTAGCAACGACAACTTGCTAGAGCCACTAGCCACCAGACGGACAGAGCAGCTGTACTTTGACAAAAGCCTGAGAGCCCCTGGTGCCTGTAAGTGGGGAGATTTAATAGAAAACTATCTGCTCAAAGGAATTTAATTAAAAGGTGAACATTCCTCTTACTTCCTTTTCACATATGTGTATTTTCATCCTCACAGAAGTAGTTCTGCAAATCTATGTGTATTTGCCACCACCTGTCTGCCAGTTTGTCATATCTGGTGGCTGCCTGTTGCTGTGATGCTGGAAGCTATGCCACCAGTATTTCACATGTCAGCAGGGTTACCCATGAGACAAGCTTCAGCAGAGCTTCCAGACTCAGACAGATTAGGAAAAAGGAACGGGCAGTCTACTTCTAAAAAAATTAGTCAGTGAAAACCTTATGAACAGCAGTAGAACATTGTCTGATATAGTGTCTGAAGCCTATGTAGTAAGGACAGACATTAACAAGTTTAAGTGTTTGTTTGCATTACTCCTTTTCAGGCAGCTTATACCTGTGAGCATTAAATAGTTCTTATCTTTAGCTGTTCTTTCATTTCTCTTCAGATAAATATTATATGTGATTTTCTATGCTTGTTCATTGTTGTTGTTATTGTTGGGTGCTACTGAGTCTGTTTTCAACTCATAGGAACCCCATGTGAGAAAGAAATGCCCCATAGGGTTTTCTAGGCTGTAATTTTTCTGGGAGCAGGTCTTTCTTCTGTGGAGTCACTGGGTGAGTTTGAACTGTCAACCTTTCGGGTAGCAGCTGAGTGTTGCACTACGGGGGCTCCTTTGCCTGTGTATTACTATGCTATCATCTGGAGATAGTCTTGACCAGATGTAACACTTTACTTAAAAAGTCAGGTAGCTGTTGTTCATAGCAACAATTGCACCAACATGATACTGATAGTGTTTTACTAATACATTCTTTTTGCTAACATCTCAGATAAGTTCCCCAAGTATTAACAGCCCATTACCGCCAAGCTGGCAGGCATACTAGATTTGAGGATGAAAAAACTGAGACAAATGGTCCCTGTCTTCAGCCAGTTACAGTCTGGTGCGTAACAGAGAATTTAAAACTTCTAACACCACTTATAGCAAGCAAAACCACTTTTCTAGAAAAATCCAGTCTCTGTGTTCTCAACTGCCCAAGGTTTTCAGAAATTGCCAGTACCTGCTGCAGTGTTAGAACTTAATTAAAGAATTAAAACTTAAATAGTCCTAAGAATAATCCTTTGAGGTAGTTCTTATCACTTCTTAGAGATCAAGAGAGCCTAAGAGACTTCCCCTTTTTTCTCACTATATTTTTTTAAATGAGGAAATGGTGAAAAAAATTATTAAAATTGTAGATTATTTTAAATGTTTATATAAGACAAATTGAAACTAAAATAAAAGAATAAGATATGATATCACATAGATATTCACAAGATAATAACAGGTTTTCTGACAAAAATGCTGTTGTTGTTAGGTGCTGTCGAGTTAGTTTCAACTCATAGCAATCGCATGTACAACAGAAGGAAACACTGCCCAGTCCTGTGCCATCCTCACGATCGTTGCTATGTTTGAGCCCATGGTAGTAGCCGCTGTGTCAATCCGTCTCGTTAAGGGTCTTCCTCTTTTACGCTGACCCTCTACTTTACCAAGCATGATGTCTTTCTCCAGAGACTGGTCCCTCCTGATAACATGTCCGAAGTACGTGAGATGAAGTCTCGCCATCCTCACTTCCAAGGAGCATTCTGGCTGCACTTCTTTCAAGACAGATTAGTTCATTCTTCTGGCCAAACTCATTGCCATCGAGTTGGTTCCGACTCACAGTGACCCGATAGGGCAGAGTGGAACTGCCCATAGTGTTTACAAGGAGCAGCTAGTAGATTCAAACTACCTACCTTTTGGTTAGCAGCCGAGCTCTTAACCACTGCACAACCAGGGCTCCATTCTTCTGGCAGGCTATGGTATATTCAACATTCTTCACCGAATCATAATTCAAAGGCATCAATTCTACTTTGGTCTTCCCTATTCATTGACCAGCTTTCGCATGCGTGTGAGGTGATTGAAAATATCATGGCTTGGGTCAGGTGCACCTCGGTCCTCAAGTGACATCTTGGCTTTTTAACACTTTAAAGAGATCTTCTGCAGCAGATTTGACCAATGCAATGCATCATTTGATTTCTTGACTGCTGCTTCCGTGGGCATTGATTGTGGATCCAAGTAAAATTAAATACTTGACACTTTCAGTCTTTTCTTCATTTATCATGTTGCTTATTGGTCCAGTTGTGAGGATTTTGATTTCCTTATGTTGAAGTATAATCCACAATGAAGGTTGTCCTCTTTGATCTTCATCCGTTAGTGC